ATTGCATTCTTAACGGGTCGATTTCGAGTGACCAATAATCGTCGTGATGATATTTATACGTCATGCGTTCCTGATCATCATCAGCAATCAAGAGACAAAAGCGGCAATTGCTTTAAATCAACGGTTTACGTTATTATTGTGAATTCGACCCCTGTTTTAACGGTTATCACACTTTGTAATTGAATGTATTGAGGATAGCTTTACAAATAAGAGGACCAGTAAATAAAATTGCCACAAGTGTTTCTCTCACTCACTTTCGATAAGACACAATGAAAATTCTTACTTAACCATAAGATTCGGAATTTTTCAACCGTTGAAGAATATCGCAATTTTATAAAAGGAGGACTTAGGAGGAGGACTCAGGAGGAGGAGGAGGAGGACTCAGGAGGAGGACTGAGGAGTACTGAGGAGGATAGCTGAGGAGGATGACTGAGGAGGATGACTGAGAGGGAGGAGGAGGAGAAGGACTGAGGAGAAGGAGAAGGAGGAGGACCTAGGAGGATGAGGACCCAGGAGGAGGACTCAGGAGGAAGAGAAGGAGGTGGACTCAGGAGGACTGAAAAGGAAGAGGACTGAGGAGAACTGAGGAGGAGGAGGACTGAATAGGAGGAGGAGGAGGGGGACTGGGGGAGGACTGAGGATGCAGAAGACTGACGAGAAGGATGAGGAGGAGGACTGAGGAGGAGGACTGAGGACTGAGGAGGATGAAGAGGAGGAAGACCCAGGAGGAGGACTGAGGAGGAGGATGAGGACTGAGGAGAAGGATGAGGAGGAGGACTGAGGAGGAAGAAGAGGAGGATGAAGAGGAGGAAGAGGACCCAGGAGGAGGAGGACTGAAGAGGAGGATGATGATGAGGACTGAGGAGGAGGAGGAGGACTGAGGAGGATGGCTGAGGAGGAGGAGGAGAAGGACTGAGGAGTGAGGAGGAGAAGGAGGAGGACCTAGGAGGAGGAGGACTCAGGTGGAGGACTCAGGAGGAGGACTCAGGAGGAGGACTCAGGAGAACTGAGGAGGAGGAGGAGGAGTGAATAGGAGGAGGAGGGGGACTAAGGAGAAGGATGAGGACTGAGGAGGAGGACTGAGGAGTACTGAGGAGGATGGCTGAGGAGGACGGCTGAGGAGGATGGCTGAGGAGGATGGCTGAGGAGGATGGCTGAGGAGGATGGCTGAGGAGGATGGCTGAGGAGGATGACTGAGGAGGATGACTAAGAAGGAGGATGAGGAGGAGGAGGAAAAGGACTGAGGAGGAGGAGGAGGAGAAGGACCTAGGAGGAGGAGGACTCAGGAAGAGGAGGAGGACTCAGGAAGAGGACTCAGGAGGAGGAGGACTGAAGAGGAGGATGATGATGAGGACTGAGGAGGAGGAGGAGGACTGACCAGAAGGATGAGGAGGAGGACTGAGGAGGATCAGGAGGACTGATGATTGAGGAGGAAGAGGAGGAGGATGAAGAGGAGGAGGAGGACCCAGGAGGAGGACCCAGGAGGAGGACTCAGGACGAGGAGGAGAACGACTGAGGAGGACTGAGGAGGAGGAGGAGAAGGAGGAGGAGGAGGAGGAGGAGGAGGAGGAGGAGGAGGAGGAGGAGGAGGAGGAGGAGGAGGAGGAGGAGGAGGAGGAGGAGGAGGAGGAGGAGGAGGAGGAGGCTCCAAAAGCTGTGTCTCCAATGTCTCCAATGCCCCTAATATCCATTTTATGTCCCTATAATGTCCCCAATGTCTCCAATGTCCCCAATGTCCCAAATGTCTCCAAAAGCTGTGTCTCTAATGTCCCCAGTGTCCCCAATGTCCCCAATGTCTCCAATGTCTCCAAAAGCTGTGTCTCCAATGTCTCCAATGTCTCCAATGTCTTTGTCTTTTTCGAAAAGATAAGGTGCGGGAGACATTGGAGACATGTCACCCCCCCCCTCCCCCCCCTTATGTCAACCTGTGGTAAGAAAGTGGTAGGGGAGGATAGGAAGTCTGGGCAACAAATTGCTGTCGCAGAGCACAGACAGGAAACGAAAAAGCAGAAGAACTAACTGCTGATGGAATTTCATACGATTCGTTGATTTTTTGTAAAAATTGAACTTACATTTTATAAAATTGCGATATTCTTCAACGGTTGAAAAATTCCGAATCTTATGGTTAAGTAAGAATTTTCATTGTATCTTATCGAAAGTGAGTGAGAGAAACACTTGTGGCAATTTTATTTACTGATCCTCTTATTTGTAAAGCTATCCTCAATACATTCAATTACAAAGTGTGATAACCGTTAAAACAGGGGTCGAATTCACAAAAATAACGTAAACCGTTGATTTAAAGCAATCGCCGCTCCTGTCTCTTGATTGCTGATGATGATCAGGAACGCATGACGTATAAATATCATCACGACGATTATTGGTCACTCGAAATCGACCCGTTAAGAATGCAGTGTAAGTGCGGTGGTTTTTTCTGTGCATTTGTTACCTGTTACTAATTAATCCACAGGATCAAAATGTTTATTGTATCGATAAAAATGGATTTTAAGGCATAAGGAAGCATTGTTGAGTTCTGAAACCAAGTTTAATCGATTTCTCGTGCAATTTTAGGTCAGGAGTGGTCATCAAAATAAATTTTGAACAAAGTCGATATTTTGGTAAATTTCTAGCTTTCTGTCAGAAAATAAATCTTCGTTCTATTAGGGGTAATTGGATGTAACTACAGTACAGCTGTACTTACACCCACTTTCACAAGCATGCAAGCTCACCTGGTCCAAAGAGCGGGAAACGGAGAACGAGCTCTGGTGACGTCATAGTCACGTGACCTCAGGCTCATAATCACGTGACCTCAGACCCAATCAATTGGGTTCTGGCCTGTTCAGCCCCCTGTCACCCGATCTTGAGGTGACGTACGACAACTCGTTAACCCAATCGATGTCTGGAAGGCTGCAAATTTTCACATGCCAAACTCACAACGGTTTTTCGGAGTTGTGCGAGATGACGACACATAGAGGCCGCAGAATTATGAGGACTACCAGATCCTGGTGGAACCTAAGCGATCCATGATATCACGACAGGCCCTATATATCCGATTAGTCATACTTTATAATATAATGGTTAAAAACAAAGTAAAAAGATTTTTCGATGGCCGGCATTCGCAACCGCGAAACGTTTTGAGTACGACAAACGTTGTAGCGCGATGCGTTACTGTGCAGCGCCGCGCACTCAATGAGGCTTCTCACCGCGACAGATCGGCGAGATGAGCTACTGTGCCGCGCCGAGCTGCGATGAATTGACATCGTCAATTAAGACAAACGATGACACCACCACTACTAGCCTTCACCTAACCATGTGCTTTCGCGCCGCTGCGGGCGCGCTTGTTTCACAAATCAAGAAAAGGCGCTACTGCAAGCGCAAGGGCATTGGATAGAGTAACCACCAGCCCTTAATTGATAAGTCCATGGGTGATGGGTGATGGGATAAAGTAAGATTTGTAATTTCATATTGCCCATCACCTATCACCTATGTTAATTTGCATATACTGCTTCTAGTTACACGCTAGCGATCTCAGCTCAGGGAAGGGATATCATAATAAATATAAGTTGGAGGACTTCGCCGCTTTGAAGCGCCGCGCAAACTAGCATTCTTGCTTCGCATCGAAGCAAGAATCGACCATCGTCAATCGCGCTCCTTTGGTTCACGTGACTTTGGTTTTTTTGGTTTTGCAGCCGTACAAAACGGTTTTACATAAACCCTAATCCCAACCCTAACCCTAACCATAACCCCGAAGCTATCCATAATCTTTATCACAACCCTAACCTTACTGGGCCGCGCTCAGCCTGTCATTCCGCCAAATCTTAATTTAATGAACATAATAGCCTGGGGTCCTCAGGTAACCCTAACCCTAACCCGAGCCCTAAATAATCGAATTCACGTTTTACTAGCCTGTCACGTGACCAAAACGGTTTATTGCCTATAACTCTCCAGGGAAGCATTTTAACCCTACGTCATGGGGGGTGATTCGGAATCAGCGTCCAAAAATACACCGATCCAGATCACTTTCATGCCTAAAGGGCCATTTCACAAGAATTTTCTTAAAATTTGGGCAAGCGATTTAGTAGGAGCGGTTTATTTTATTGCTACACACTAAAAGTTGTTCACATATTACGTAATCACTTTTGGGCCAATTTTTGACCCCCTCCCTCCTCTGTTATCATTTTAACTCATAACTATTGTGTAAAAATTACACTATAACTAGCGTAATCATTTGGAACCCCTCTACGTAATATGTGAATTTACCCTTACAAGTACAGTTTGGCAATCTAATAAATCGCTGCATCGGACACAAAAAATATAATACAAAAATATGATACAAAAATATTCAGTATCTGCTTCGAAATATAAGCGAGGTTTGATTGACAATGTCAATCCATTGAGATCGTTGCTCTGTGAAGCAGAGCAACGATCGAAGCAAGAATGCTAGTTTGCGCGGCGCGTCGAAGCGTCGAAGTCCTCCAAAAGCGAGGTTCAAGACGATTAGTCAAATGCAAAATGTTCATGTTTTGCTGTACATGTGTGCGTTTTAAACTTGGTAAATTTTATAATTTATAAATTATACAAATCTTAAAGTATTAACTAATGAGACACAGGTTTGCTGTACTAAGGACTACGAACCCCCTTTTATTTAGCCCTCCCTATTGGAGCAAGGAGTATGTTATTGCTCAATTGAGGGAACGGTTAATAATTAGTTTAATTATTAGCTAACTTAGATTTAATAATGATAAAATGTAACAGTCTTTTACTTAGCCCACAATCATATAAAAGGTTGTTGCATCTACTGAAGCAATAACTATACAATTATCTATTTCCTGACTCCTACAGCATAATCTGTTGGGACTGCAACAAATATTTTGTTGTGTGCGTGGTTACTCTACCAGTCATTGCTTTAAGTTATTTTAAGACTCATTATTTACCAGTTTTTACATTTTTATCGGGAGTCAATGATATTGTGTACTCTTTTAATTGTCTCTTTCGCCAGAAAATGTTACATTTTTGATCTGAAGCTGTACCAAAGACGCAAGTCATGTTTCACAGATCGATGAAAGTTATCTCCCAGAATCCTTGTTTCAGACAGCATGTAATAAAAAGGTTTGGCCTTTTTGGCAGAAGTAATTTCCTTCAAGCACAATGGGATAGTGCCCATATATCTTGTGAGGGAATAAGGAAGGAAATTGAAACTTCTGGTATCGATGAAAGTTTAATTGCAAAACTTGACAAAATTTCTAATGAAATTTGTATAGTTGCTGATGCATGCAACTTCATCACATCATTTCATTCGTGTAATGATGTTGCCAATGCTGCTGAGGAGGTTTATATGCAATCTATATCTTATGTAGAAACTTTGAATACTGATAAAACACTTTATCTGAAGATCAAGGCATTGAAAGAAAGTTCTATGTGGCAATTGTTAGATCAGGACACTAAACATGCAACTAACATGTTTATTGATGAGTTTGAGAAATCGGGGACACATTTGAATGGTGAAAAGAGGAACATCTTTGTAGAAACCAATAATGAAATTTTTAAAGCTGGAAGCAATTTCGTTGAAGCTGCACATCAGCCTACAAGTGTTTCCATCACAAAGTGTCCAACACCATTATTAAATCTGATTCGTGGCAGTTCTCCTTTAATAACTTTATCTGAGGCTGACCTTAATAGTCGCTATGATGATGTACGAGAAGCCAGCTGGAAACTTTATCATCGGTTTGATAAATCAAGGGAAGGAAAATTGTGCGCATTACTAAATCAGCGTCAGAGACTCTCTTCCCTATCAGGTTTTGAAAACCATTGTGAAAGGGAAATCAAGGGTTCAACGGCCAAATCTCCAGTTGTTGTCCAAGATTTTCTTAATGAGCTGAACCACCAGCTTAAAGATTCTGTTGACTTTGAAATTGACTTATTCAGAAAATCAAAGCGAACTAGAGATCCTGTCGGAATATGGGACATCAGTTACTATGCAGTTGAAAGTCGCTGCAAATTTATGCAGAAATATGCAATCTTTCAGAGTAATCTCAATTTGACGGTGGTTATGGAAGCAATAAATAAATTGTCACTGGATATGTTTGATGTGGAACTTGTTTGTGAACCAATCAAAACTGATGAAGTATGGCATGCAGATGTTCTCAAATATTCTGTCCGTACTCAATGTGGTCAAACATTGGGCACCATATATTGTGACTTCTACAGAAGGCCTGGAAAAGACAAGCAAATCTGTTTGCACACAATTCAGTGTGGCACATTGACTCAGATACCGATTGTGGTTCTTGTTTGTAATTTTAATAAAGATGGCTGCATTCAAACCAGCAATGTTAATCTGTTGTTCCATGAGTACGGTCATGCTCTACATGCTGTGTTGGGCAGAACTCGGTATCAGCATGTCAGCGGCACAAGATGCCCAACAGACTTTGCAGAAATCCCTAGTATTTTACTAGATTCCATGATTAATCAAAGTAGCATCATGACGGAACTGTTTAACAGGGATGAACTCAAAGACAAAAGTTTACCAAGTATTTCAATATCTGACTGTTACAATGCAACTGAAACACAGGTACAGTTGTACTATGCAATGTTGGACCAACTGTTGCACAGTTCTGATGTCAAAGACACATGCAAGATAGCATCAATTGCTCAAAAGAAGTATTTGAATCAGTTTGAAATTCCTTCTTCCACTGCGTGGCATCAGCGATTTGCTCATTTATATTTCTATGGTGGAAGATATTACTCTTACTTATGGGCTCAGGCTATTGTTAATATTATCATTGAGAGACATGATTTGAAAAACACAGTTCAATATTCCCCCGAGATTAAAGCCTTGTTTGAGCAGGGTGGCTCAAAAGATTGTTCTTATCAGATAGAAAGTTTGTTGGGGGAGTCATTGTCAATTGACAAAATGGTCGCCTCATTGGTTAAGCCCTTATCCTCATTCAATACATTGATTGAATCTGCCGGTGCTTGAGCTTGATTTGATTAAATTCGTGAGAAATCAAATTCGATAGAAATCAAATTCGATAGAAATCAAATTCGATAGAAATCAAATTCGTTAAAAATCAATCATCATTGATTGGTATTTAAGTATTTGATGTATAAATTAATAAGTTTTTATTTTACCATCCATCCGATTGGTTCAGGCCCATTTTATATTTATACCGAATTTATAAATGGAAACTCTTTGAACCTAAGCGTTAATATACTATTATATAATATACTTATATTAATAAGACTTACAATTAACTTTGCTAATAATTTATCAATCAAGTTTTATCATATCAAACATCATAAAGTAGAGTTAAACAAATTAAAAGACAAAGTAAACTCAATTAATTAATAATTTGTCTTCTGTTGCTTCTATTGTTGTAACCAACTCATTAATATTAAAGTAAACATTACAGCTAGCTGACCATGTAGCCTGCATGGTGGAATCAAGATGTGAAAGAGCACTTCGAAACCTCAAGTCATAGACCTGTGATGTGAATGGCAGATCAGTCAGATAGTCCGACTGAGGACCAGGTACAGGTTACTTTAATTAATTACTTTGCTTAATTTTCAGTAAATTTAATTACTTTAATTACTTTTCATTGATTTACTGCTAAGTAAATTTTAATACTCTTATATCATCATCTTGTATGATCATCATCTACTCAATTTCCAAGATTTTTTAATTTAGATATAAATAAATACATATATTCTAACAGCTAAATATTCTAATTATATCTATAAATATATTTATCCTTCAGATTTTAGAACATTTCAGAAGCTTCCTTAGATCTTTCATTACATCTGGGCAATAAATTCATATCCACTAGACTCTTTTAGTGATTCATCAATCCTGATTTTATTAATATATTTATTTATCAACAGGCAACCAATGCAAATGGACAGGATGGCGAGTCTTCGGACAGCAAGCCAGCTTATGTTTCACAGGTTAGCTAGCGAGTCATTAACACAAAGCTATTAGCTTGAAAAACAATAAACTCTGCTAAAACTAGGCTAAACTGGGATACTTTTAGTCTCACAAAGCTTAATTTGTATGTGGTCAATAGTACAATCAGTGTGTATTGTGCAACTACTACACAATGTATTGAGAAAACAATGAAGAGTGAAGATGTTCTGTAGTATAGTTTATTGTTCTTTTATTTAAGATTGTAAACAAGATTACAAACAAACAAACAAGCTGACTTGTGGAACTAACACACTGTATTTTGCAGACCTCGCTAGACAGGGCCACTAAGGAGAGACTCATAAAGCAGAAGTCCGTTAGTTTCAGTGCAGATCCAGACGACAGTATGATAATCACTGGGGGTATGTGCTACCATAGTAACACTACTAGTTACCATAGTTACACTACTAGTTACCATAGTTACACCACAGTTTATATCTCTAGTTTTCCTTTTCTTTACAGTTTATATCTCTAGTTTTCCTTTTCTTTACTGGTGGTACTGGTATGTGCCACACTTTGATAGAATATGGTAAACTTTAAACTCATAATGATTTTTCGTATCGCCAAGTTTATTGTATTGAGTCGCTACTCGTTCATTAGTTCATTATCAAGAACTAAAGTCAGTCATTAACAAGCTTTTGAACTGAAAGACCTGCACTGATTGTAGATGTCACGGCTAGCAGATCACTAAATTAAAATGAGATGCTGACAGCTGCTAACAAGAGGAACTGATACTTTAACACCTGTTTATTAAGTCATTAGAAAAACTGCTGTCCCCTTCTCTGTTAACTTGTTAACTATCAATATAACCATATTATACATACTCAGTACTATTATGATGACTGAGTGTTATATTATAACTCCTTTATAAATAATGTTATTTCATTGTAATAAACTAATTACAGTTTATATAATATGCTAATAATCTATTGTATTAAATATCACTCTCTCTCACTCTCCTTTCTCTCTCTCGCAGCTAGGGACTGTTTGAGTCTTATGGCGTCAGGATCAGACTTCATCAAGATTAAACCTGGAGCGCGGGAGTTTCAGAGACAATTCTACTTTGATCAGGAAACTCTGTCTATTCACTGGCTCCCTTCTAGAAAGAAAACATCCAAAAGTTAGTAAAGAAAACTGGGGTTATATTGCTATTAATTAGTGATTTATTGGGGCGATCATGCCTTGTATGGGCAACAATCTTACCTTACAGAGGCAATTCTGAAGAAATGTATTGAACAATAAAGCTATGATTGAATTGCTTTAAGGATATGCTATCAAAAAGAAGTCCGTAAAGGTTCAGTCCACTCCGTGTAGTCATAAATCACAAAAAGCTAGCTGACGACCAACACTAATGCATTAGTGTTGATATATTGCATAATGACTGCTACTAACTTCAGTTCTAGTAGAAGACATAGTGTCAGTGCAGATGGGCCAGAAGACGGAGAGTTTCCGGACAGCAATCAGCGAGTACCCCAGCTCCAGGTGCTTCTCCATCATGTTGCGGGATAACAGCAGTGTGGATCTGGTGGCCCTGGTCCCAAACGAGGCGTACATATGGGTGAAGGGGCTGCGGTGTTTGGTTACTGGTGGATTAGGTGAGACACAATCAGCATTCTTAACACGTGTTAACTCGTGCCCAACACGTGGACGCTAGGCTATATTCCCTTGATAATTCAGAAGGACTAGAGCTAGGTAAGTAGGTAATCCAGCTTCTCAAACAAATCCAGTAATCAAATTAAGTGGGTGATATTCAACTGGGTGTACTGTAATAAATATTCTAATGAGATTTTATTAATGTACATTTGGTACCCATTACAGGGACTTTGCGAGGAAGGTGCTCTTGGAGTAATATTATGAGTAATATTATGAGTAATATTATGAGTAATATTATGAGCAATATCATGAGTAATATTATGAGTAATATTATGAGTAATATTATGAGTAATATTATGAGTAATATTATGAGTAATATTATGAGTAATATTATGAGTAATATTATGAGTAATATTATGAGTAATATTATGACTTATGAGCAATATTATGAGTAATATTATGAGTAATATTATGAGTAATATTATGAGTAATATTATGAGTAATATTATGAGTAATATTATGAGTAATATTATGAGTAATATTATGAGTAATATTATGAGTAATATTATGAGTAATATTATGACTTATGAGCAATATTATGAGTAATATTAAAACATGATGAATAATATATATCTACAAGGGTTTAAATATTATATTATAACCCTTGTAACTGGGTGTGTTCTGTAGACTCGTTAGGTTATTGCCTCCGTGCAGCGTGCAGCAGGGTGTGTTAATATAACGAACAGTATAGCAGGTACTATCTTGAAAACAACCTCATGGTCGCTAACTGTATTAACGTGTTAATCTATATAAAGTAGATCTTCTCAAACTCAAGGTCCGGGATATAGTCCTAATGTCCGTGTCAAGTTACATGTTATTGGTGCTCTGTTCTAATGTCTTATCACGTGCCTCATCACACATTTAATATATTATCGTGGGTGAGTTGACCTTTGCAACCAGTGAAATGAAAGAAAATATAAATATTTATACCTCGCCCAGTAACGCCCCAACAATTCACACTATTGGAGGTAGGGTCATGTCACAGCGGGGGGGGGGGGGGGGGGGGGGGGGGGCGTCACAGCGGCTCTACTGTAATACATACGAGTAAATAATACATAATATTACTATGATTTTTAAACGAGTTTAAAGACAAATTCAATTTTATCAGTCATGCTTTATAATACGATAATAATATTATCCCTCGATTTCTCAACCTTGAAGGCATTGACAGTTATATGAATTACATAAGAGGATTACAGGGAAGGTGCCAGTTAGACCTGGCACTCTGCCAGACCTGCCAGTTACAAGTCACCCCACTATGAACGGGTTTGCGAGTAACTTTCCTTATTACTTGAGATTTGAACATTTTGTTATCAACTAATAAGTGTGATCGCCAGGTCAGAGAAATCTCTCAAACGTCGATGAGGAGGAAAATCATGATGCAAATGTCGCGGGTCAGTAAATTGAGCACGCTTAAATGCGCGCCTCTGCGCACGTGCTTACTGCACGTGGGGTAGCAATGTGTTGTGTGAACGTGATCACTGTACTATACCTATAATCTTGATAGGCTGATAATCTACACAACCAGTGGGAGTTGTTTACTCTGGAGGTTATATAGCACGTGTTATTTATAGCACGTGTTATACATAGCACGTGTTCTTTAGCACGTGTTGCGAGAAGCCTTCTTGTTATGATTGTTGAAGTCTTTGCTCTGATTATTGAAATCAAATCTGTGCTGTCTTTTCTTGCTCTTCTTCTATTAATCAATCAATGTATGCTCACTTTTAAATATTAATTGAGGTGATCACCTGTTTTATGTCAGAGAGAAGGGAGCAGTATTGACATATATTATACTGGTACATTTATAGATTCGCCACAATAACCCCCTAACCTATTGTAAGAGGTATGTTAATTCAGAGAACGTGTAGTGTGTGTGAGAACTAGAGAGTGTGTTAGAGTACCTTTGCTAAAATTACTTGTATTGCAGAGAGATTGGGTATTATAGAGTATAACTTGACCCATATAAGTACAATATTATATTATGGTAATTCACCGAAAATGTAAGCAGGTAAGGCAAATGGTGGCTGAATCACTAGAAAGTACTACTAGAAACTACTATGTCTATATCGATTATAGAGCATGAGTTTAAGGACGAGATGGTTATTTAGGAGTTGCTTTGTTCAGTAATTGGTTACACTACTATTCTTTACTTAATGTCTGGGGCGTGGTCGATATCACTGGTAATTAGAAATAAACGCCATAATCAAGACTTTGTACATAATCAAGACTTTGTGCTCTATAGACATGTTATAAACGATATTTGATTGTTCTACTAATATTCTATTTTAAGCACGTGGAAAATCTTATTATAGGTCAATTCACTGAACTGTGGCTTGATCAATACAATGCAGTGTTCCACCTCCCCGGGAATCAGGGTAACTAGGGTAACTAGGGTAACTAAGGTAACTAGGGTAACTAAGGTAACCAGGGTAACTAAGGTTATCAGGGTACAGTAAATCTTCCTGTCCTCTGAAACGCTTAGGTGCCGCATACGGCATAACACGTGAGTGGTAAGTCACCCAGTGAGAAGAGCACTGTGTTACCCTGGTTACCCAGTGAGAAGAGCACTGTGTTACCCTGGTTACCCAGTGAGAAGAGCACTGTGTTACCCTGGTTACCCAGTGAGAAGAGCACTGTGTTACCCTGGTTACCCAGTGGGGAGAGCACTGTGTTACCCTGGTTACCCAGTGAGAAGAGCACTGTGTTACCCTGGTTACCCAGTGAGAAGAGCACTGTGTTACCCTGGTTACCCAGTGGGGAGAGCACTGTGTTACCCTGGTTACCCAGTGAGGAGAGCACTGTTACCCTGGTTACCCAGTGAGAAGAGCACTGTGTTACCCTGGTTACCCAGTGAGGAGAGCACTGTGTTACCCTGGTTACCCAGTGGGGAGAGCACTGTGTTACCCTGGTTACCCAGTGAGGAGAGCACTGTGTTACCCTGGTTACCCAGTGAGGAGAGCACTGTGTTACCCTGGTTACCCAGTGGGGAGAGCACTGTGTTACCCTGGTTACCCAGTGGGGAGAGCACTGTGTTACCCTGGTTACCCAGTGGGGAGAGCACTGTGTTACCCTGGTTACCCAGTGGGGAGAGCACTGTGTTACCCTGGTTACCCAGTGAGGAGAGCACTGTGTTACCCTGGTTACCCAGTGGGGAGAGCACTGTGTTACCCTGGTTACCCAGTGGGGAGAGCACTGTGTCCTGGAGAGTTAATGTGGTTTGGTGTGAAGCTGCGCGCAAGTTTAACCTGGTCCCTTGGTTCGGTGAATTGCATGAAACATCTTACCTAGATCCCTTCTTTATCATTATATGAATGGCTTCAAGGTGTTCACGTGTTTACAGTAGAAAAACATTTCATTTAGCTCATCACGAGTCTTTAAATGAGTTCCAATTCTTTTTATCATTTAATTCAAATCATTTCTTGAGCACCACTTTCTTGAAACGGGTCAGAAGACCCAGACAAATGGACCACTTTTCTAATGTTGCGAACATGAGACACATTACAAAAGCTATTTGTTGTTGCTATTTATAAACCATATTGATAAGAGAGCAGGTGATTGCTTGCTTGTCATGTCCATCAGAATATCAGTTAGCGCAACACCAGCACACTATTTAACATATTATGTTTTATAAACATAATATGTTAAATATTTCCGGGTTTCTTCTTCTACAATCATACCGTCAAGATGAGACATAATATCTCACGGTATACCAACTTAACTAAATAAACTAAATACTGATACTTATTAAACAAAGTAAGTTGAAGAGATTTCCACCATTTTTTGACTTCAAACATTTGAAGTGAATAGAGCATTGTTTTGCTTGACACATGATCAAAATGGTGGTGGCTTTATGATGGATTGTGAGCTAGCAACTAGCTGCTAGTTGCTAGTTGCTAGTCAAAGGGCCCCGTGATACACTCTCAGATGTGTGATTACATGTAATTATTATGTAATTATTATTAGACCCGCGTATAGAAGAGGTATAATGTTATATACTCTGATATAACATGTACAACTACACATAATATAACACGTCATGTAACATGTACCCTAAACCATACATCATCCTGATCCTAATATAAGGTGACTACTGACTACACCAGTGATACACCACGCACGCAACTATTTAATAACTCATAATTCTTCTCACGTGGGTAGTTACTTTTGGCCCACCCTGTATTCATCTATTAATACTACCGCTCTTACTTACTGTAAAGCAGTACCGCTCTGCAGGATTACATTAAATATTAAACGCCAGGAAACTGACTTCAGTAACTGAGGAGGCAATAACTCATGAGACACCAGGGAAAAAGTAGTTAGTACTTGATTTAACCATAATATTAGTTCAGCAGTTATAACCACGCCCTGATCTGCTTCTAAACCATGAGGTATCATATCCCGATATATACTCCTATGTAAGAACTGTAGTATGATTAATGAGTAAGGAGCACGGTCCCTTTATTACATTAGTCCTTATACACCCTGGCCTTATATTAGTTCAAGTATAATATTAGATTATACACATTGCCATGTCTCTCTTTCATCTGCTATCATGTAAGCGTCATGTTGACAGGGATACTAGTAGCTGTCAATTTGTAGTCACTGTTGGTCACTACTAGGCTCCTGTCACATATTAGCTGCTCTAGAGAGTGGTCACTGTTGGTCACTACTAGGCTCCTGTCACATACTAGCTGCTCTAGAGAGTGGTCACTGTTGGTCACTACTAGGCTCCTGTCACATACTAGCTGCTCTAGAGAGTGGTCACTGTTGGTCACTACTAGGCTCCTGTCACATACTAGCTGCTCTAGAGAGTAGTCACTGTTGGTCACTACTAGGCTCCTGTCACATACTAGCTGCTCTAGAGAGTGGTCACTGTTGGTCACTACTAGGCTCCTCTCACATACTAGCTGCTCTAGAGAGTGGTCACTGTTGGTCACTACTAGGCTCCTCTCACATACTAGCTGCTCTAGCGAGTGGTCACTGTTGGTCACTACTAGGCTCCTCTCACATACTAGCTGCTCTAGAGAGTGGTCACTGTTGGTCACTACTAGGCTCCTGTCACATACTAGCTGCTCTAGAGAGTGGTCACTGTTGGTCACTACTAGGCTCCTGTCACATACTAGCTGCTCTAGAGAGTGGTCACTGTTGGTCACTACTAGGCTCCTGTCACATACTAGCTGCTCTAGAGAGTGGTCACTGTTGGTCACTACTAGGCTCCTGTCACATACTAGCTGCTCTAGAGAGTGGTCACTGTTGGTCACTACTAGGCTCCTGTCACATACTAGCTGCTCTAGAGAGTAGTCACTGTTGCTCACTACTAGGCTCCTGTCACATACTAGCTGCTCTAGAGAGTGGTCACTGTTGCTCACTACTAGGCTCCTGTCACATACTAGCTGCTCTAGAGAGTGGTCACTGTTGCTCACTACTAGGCTCCTGTCACACACTAGCTGCTCTAGAGAGGGGTCACTGTTGGTCACTACTAGGCTCCTGTCACATACTAGCTGCTGTAGAGAGTGGTCACTGTTGGTCACTACTAGGCTCCTGTCACATACTAGCTGCTCTAGAGAGTGGTCACTGTTGGTCACTACTAGGCTCCTCTCACATACTAGCTGCTCTAGAGAGTGGTCACTGTTGGTCACTACCAGGCTCCTCTCACATACTAGCTGCTCTAGAGAGTGGTCACTGTTGGTCACTACTAGGCTCCTCTCACATACTAGCTGCTCTAGAGAGTGGTCACTGTTGCTCACTACTAGGCTCCTGTCACATACTAGCTGCTCTAGAGAGTGGTCACTGTTGGTCACTACTAGGCTCCTGTCACATACTAGCTGCTCTAGAGAGTGGTCACTGTTGCTCACTACTAGGCTCCTGTCACATACTAGCTGCTCTAGAGAGTGGTCACTGTTGGTCACTACTAGGCTCCTGTCACATACTAGCTGCTCTAGAGAGTGGTCACTGTTGGTCACTACTAGGCTCCTGTCACATACTAGCTGCTCTAGAGAGTGGTCACTGTTGGTCACTACTAGGCTCCTCTCACATACTAGCTGCTCTAGAGAGTGGTCACTGTTGGTCACTACTAGGCTCCTGTCACATACTAGCTGCTCTAGAGAGTAGTCACTGTTGGTCACTACTAGGCTCCTCTCACATACTAGCTGCTCTAGAGAGTGGTCACTGTTGCTCACTACTAGGCTCCTGTCACATACTAGCTGCTCTAGAGAGTGGTCACTGTTGGTCACTACTAGGCTCCTCTCACATACTAGCTGCTCTAGAGAGTAGTCACTGTTGGTCACTACTAGGCTCCTGTCACATACTAGCTGCTCTAGAGAGTGGTCACTGTTGGTCACTACTAGGCTCCTGTCACATAATAGCTGCTCTAGAGAGTGGTCACTGTTGCTCA